AATTTAATGATGCCTTCTCTATCAATCTAACAAATTCTGTATACTCTAAGAGGGTTTCTAGCTTGTTTATTTTTGTGGTGGCAACATTTAATGCTTTTTATTCTCCCTCCTTTCATTATTGGTACAGGAGCCCAAGAGAAGAAGGACAAGTCAATGCATGCATTATTGGTACACTGGCCTGTATTTGTTATTTCCTTTTGAGACCCTACTATCTCTAAACAGAAATAGCAGATGGAGGTGCATTAGGAAGAAACTCTGGCTTACAAAAATAAGTATAAATTCTCTAGAAAAGCATCTCTCATTATACAAAATAAAGAGGATATTGCTACAGAAGTTCAGAGAAACTTGAAGAGAAGTAGAGTGAACAGGGAAGGTTCAATAGACATTAAAGACACAGGGCTTATAAATGAGTATATTTTGAACAGAAAGGAAGGAGAAAGACATACGTTCCAACTGAAAATTGAGAAATGGAGGCAGGCATAAGCACAACAAGCTCATAGTTCAAAAAGTCATTATGATTAGAACCAAAGGTATTTGTTAGGAAAGTATGGAAAATGAGGAGGTAAAAAGAGGTTTGGGATATGTTATACCAATCTTGTTTCTGGTACACAGAATAGGGTTGATTATACTTAACTGTAAGCCAGGTACAGAAAACAAAAATCCAAAATAGTGTTGATCATTCTATATATCTTAACTCACGGCACTGAGTTCTGATGTTTGTTCTTAACAGCAATAATTATAGATAATTCTGCATCAGATATCCCTCTCTATTTAAGGCATCTTTTAAAAGGATACAGTTGAATGTCTGTATTTCCTTTAGATAATTAATAATCCTATGATTTGACACCAAATGTGGGCTAGTAATCTATAGTATAATTAAAAGAGGACACAGAGACCTAACATTTTAGGTATATATATACATTTTTTTAACAAACAGCATAAATGGTAAAACCCAAGAAAACAAAACAAATTTATAAAGACTCAAGATTCTTCTCCATCTTTGCAATAGATACCCCAAACCAGTTACCAACTAGAAATGACTTTAATACTTATGAGTCATAATGACCAGACAGACAAATTTATTATAGATCAAAAGAATGTAAGCATTTTCCTCCCATCACATTATATTAGTAATTCTGGCCATATGAATTATCCATAACTATATCACATATTCCCGCCAACACTCTTACTCAGATTCCAACATGCCCTCAGTATATATGGAAATGGCTAACAAATGTTGCTTCTTATATTGCATCAAAGAATAGAGCACTTCTGTGATTCAAAACAATCTTTTATTACTCAGGGACAATTTTAAAATTAAATTAAACCAGAATTATGTTTGCACAAAATACAGTTGAACTAACTAATTATATTATTATACTAAAGACTATATTAACACTAAACACTGTGACATAGAAATTTTACATAAGGATAGTAAGCAGACATGTAACAATTCACCATAATGTAAGTTAGCTCTGTAATTACTACAAAATAAGATGAATTAAGATGGATGTTATCACCAATGCCAACTGCTTGGAAAGGGATTTGGTCCTAGATAGAAATCCTGGATAGAATGGTAGGAAAAATGTGGAACAAAATTCAAAAACACAAAAATGACCAGAATTGCTGAATTGCTGGTCTGAGAGAGATTGGTGGAACCCCCTGAGATTATGGCCCTGAGTTCCCCTTCGGGCCTAGAAATGGACTCACTTACATGGATTGTCTCTCAGCTCAATAGCAGAAAGACCTACATACAGAACTCCTAGCCCAGGGCAATGTACCCACCTACTGTAGGGAGAGCCACCCCTTGAATCAATCAGCCATGACACACCAGAGGGGTAGCACTCACATAGAGGGAAAGCTGGACAGACAGGAATGCATGGATGAGAAGGGCACAGGAAGGATGTGGTCACAGCGGGGAGAGGGGAGGAGAGTTTTTTACAGTTGGGGTGGCAACTGGGGCCACTAAATCAGATGTGCATGATTTGTTGACTGTAAAACAAGTCTGCTATGTAAATTTGTACCCAAAGCACAAT